AAAGGGGAAGGGCTAAGGGGTAGAATTGGGATTGGGCCTTAATGCCAGAGTTTTCTTTAGAGGCGCTGTGTATTAGTGTAAATTCCAGCGGTGCGTTTGTTGAATGTTGGAACGGTGATATTCGCGTATAAACGGGACATTGCTGCATGCAGGTCTTGTCACAAACCACCGATCTTTGGCGATGCTTGCGAGGCAAATGCTGTTCTGGAAATGTCTTGATGAACACCAAATCCTTTCATCAGGGTCGACACGCTTTCCTTGTGAACCCGGCATGGTAACTACATGTAAAGAGGTTTTTACTAGATGCAAGAATAAACTGTTTACTATCAGTTGTGTGATTTAATTTTGGGGGGGGGGGGGGGGTGGAGTAACAGCTCAAGGCAGCTGCATGTTAAGTATAACAATGTCATTAATTCTAGATATATATATACACACACACACACACACACACACACAGTATACCTATATATATATATATATATATATATATATATATATACACACAGATAGTCAGTCAGTGTTGGGAAGGTTACTTTGGAAATGTAATGGGTTACAGATTACAAGTTATTAAAATGTAATAGTAGTGTAACTTTTTACTAATGTAACTGATTACTTTTTGATTACTTTTCTAAATTTCTAATGAATGTTTTCAACTTTTAATCATTTTCAAACATCTACACCATGCAAGGTTAACCTTACAGTAGTGCTCAACACTGTCAGACTTTCAAAATCCTTCATCACTTGAATTAAGATGATCAAATTTGAACCCATCCACCACAAAATCAGACTTTAGTACCGCCTTTTACTTTGAGATTACCATTTGTCTTTATTTTTACTACAAATTCCATGGTTAAACTGTTTAGTGTAGCTAAAACCATGGTTAATAATTTGTGGTTACCAAGGTTAGGTAAAATTGTTAATTTTCATAAGGGTTGTGTTGTTGTCTGCCCTACCTCCCCCTTAACCTATTATAAAATGATTATTTGTCTGCTAAATGACTACTGTAACATTACAACTGCACTTGAATCCCTGAACAGTAGTGTTGCTTCTCTGCTCCACCTGTGCGCTTCCACAGTCCACTCCATTCTCTCTCTCGCATTGCATTCCCAATCATGACTAACTGATTCATGATTTATTAGAGATTCATTATCGAATGTCGAATTCGCCAGGCAATTAAATAATAACAATAATATTAAAAAAGCGGGCCAAATCGGCTGCCAGGCCACCGAGAATTGTCCGCGCCTGATTTCCACAGACACGCAGAACGTGCAGGATTCATATATTGTCTTTTTGCAGCTTAATATTCACAGACACTAGTCCATATCGCATTTTGATTCAAGTGTACTGACCTACTTTTGATTTATTCGTCCAAAATGTGGCATATTCCGTCCGCGTTAATTCATATATTGTCTTTTTGCGGCTTAATATTCACAGACACTAGTCCATATCGCATTTTGATTCAAGTGTACTGACCTACTTTTGGTTTATTCATCCAAATGTTGCATATTCCGTGACATTCCGCATTATAGGAGTTCCAGCCAGTCCGTGTTTTCCACATCGCGGAAATTATTAGGGCCGTATGTCTAGTCAGAGCAATTTGGGAAAGAAATCAATTAAATCTGTATGTGGATGTGTGTAAATATTCAAATGTAATCCCCTTTGTAATCGTTAACATTTTCATAAGTAACTGTAATTTAATTACACATTTTTTCTTAGTAACTGTAACTGATTAGTTACATTTATTTTGTAATTAAATTACGTAACGCCGTTACATGTAACTAGTTGCTCCCCAACACTGTGTATATATTATTTTTTCCCCAGACACTTAATTACATGTTATTTGCAAAATGAAAATGTAATTTACATTTATATTAATTGCAATTAGTCTAACTTAAGAAGACTTTAAAGGCAAAGTGCACTCAAAACTGAAAATTTATTTACTCCAAACCTGTAAGAGTTTCTTTCTTCTGTTGAACACAAAAGAAGATATATTCAAGAATATTGGTAATCAAACAGTTGACGGTAGCCATTGATTTCCATAGTATGAAAAAAAAATACTATGACAGTCAATGGCTACCATCAACTTTTTGGTTACACAAATATCTTCTTTTGTGTTCAACAGAAGAAAGACACTCCAACAGGTTTGGAACAAGTGGAGGATGAGTAAATGACAATTTTCATTTTGGGGTCAGTTAATCCCTTTAATGCATTTTACATGCAATATATTTGCTTCAGTTTTTGTTTTTAAATATGGTAAATGTGTACTGCTGAATGCACTGGAAAGCACTTTTGGTAAAGCTTATACCTCATGTATTACATTTGTTTTTTCTAATTACACATTTGTAATGATAAAATTGAAATTTAGTACATTTAAAATATAACTTTAATATTGAATAACTACAGTAATTTATAAGTAAATTCTGAAGTATTTTACATGTGCTTAGTATGTTATGTAACATAAAAAATAGGTGTACTTTAAAGCACAACAAAAGATTCAAATTAAAATATACTTAAACACTTTAATGTGGCATTTTTAAGTGTATTTAAAGTGTGTTACGAATCTCGGTAACACTTTACAATAAGGTTCATTAGTTAACAGTTAATTAAAATGAACTACGCATTAATACTTCTACAGCATTTATTAATCTTAATGCTAATTTCTAATGCTTTATTAAAATCAGAAGTTGTGCTTGTTAGCATTAGTTTATGCACTAAATTAACATGAATTAAAAATGAACGACACTATTTTCATTCAAATTAACAAAGATTAATAAATACTGTAATGTATTGTTTATTGTTTGTTCATGTTAATGCATTAAATAACATTAACTAATGGAACCTTATTTGAAAGTGTTGAAATTCAAAGTTAAGTACACTTAAGTGGCCTCTTATATCAGTAATATTACATTTTCTACAAGTATAGTTTTTAAAAAATATATATACTTTTAAGATATGAAATATACTACAAGTGCACTTGGTTATGTGCATTGTTTTTCGCAATGGCTAGTCTTCTAAAATTATTCTAAAATCTAAAATTCTGTGCACTTATAAAATAGTTTTGATTATAATAAAAAATAATTTTGATTAAAACGTCATTGAAAATAAATAGTCTTTCACAATTGAGTAATGTTAAATAAGCTGGCATTCTTACAACTCCAATTGCACTCTCAGAAAAGAAAAGAAGAAAGAAGAAGAGGAGGAGAGAGGAGAGAATAAAAGTTGTCATTGGGGGGTAGCACCCTAAAAGGTACATATTAGTACTTCAGTATTGTATTGTATTTGTACCTAAATGGTAACTATTAGCACCTTTTTAATAAAGGGCTTCATTTGTTGTCGTCGTTGTTTTCCTGAGAGTGTACAAACTATTGTGATTGTTTGGTTCCATCTAGTGGTGATCAAATCCCTACAAACGAACAAAAAAGCACGTAAAAAAATAAATACGTATAAAATAAGTCAGTTGATTGATATCAGCCATCACACACAGTATCAAAAAAAAGTCAATTTTGTTATTTCAAATACTCAAAAGTGTGTAATTAAAAATACATGGTCTACAGCCATCTGACCACCTCAGCCAGTGCAGTGTCACGGTGGGCGGGGCTACGCAGGATTCGCTGTTGTCATGGTGGGCGTGCCCTAGTCGTGATGGGCGTGGCACTTCCTCCTCACGCTTCTGTGCGCTGCGTGAGTGCTGAGCGGGTGTAATTCACATTAGCAGCTTTGGACCGAAGAACAGCGTTTTTTTTGTGTTTCATCATGGGACTCACCAGCGATCCGAACTACCGCAAACTGGAGCAATGGTACAAATCCAGCGCCGGGAACCTCAACATGAGGCAGATGTTCGGCGCAGATCCAGACAGATCCAACAAGCTCAGGTGAAACACACATCAAACGCGCTTCCGCTGTGTATGTGAGCTCCGCTACACATCTAGATGCACATTTCATCTCATCGAGCCTGCCAGCATCACATTTGCCGCGCATCAGCTGCGACTAGGCCTCGCATCTTGGTCATTAAGGCCTATATGAACAAATCCATGCACTGTTTTTTCTAAAAAAAAATCATCTTAATGGTCTTGCAATTTAATATCAGGACATATATAAGTGGAAACATGCACATATCATGACGATTAGCGTTACATGGCAGCCTAGATTTCCAGGTTGATGTTGCAAAGTTATTGCCACATCAGGCCAAGAGTCTCGAGCTCCAGGTTCCGCCCTCTGCGCTGTTGCACCTGCTTTATATCCTTCATTCACACTCCTATAAACACACGGATAGTATGTGTAACTATTTATCTTTGCGTTAAAACAGAGCAGACATAGCCATATTAGCAGCTAGACGCAAAACAAGGTCATCGATCTTGTGTGCTGCATCTCTACACGCACCTTCACACTGCTATTATGTGGCAGCATACATGTGAGTTTCTGAGACTAGTTAATTAAATGCACATGATCAGGTATTTCTCAAGTGCACTCACTGCTTATGCAATCTCATAAGGGAGTATCACATCCTCTAGTGCGACACTTCTGTGTTTATATGTTGCATATGCACCAGGCATAGTTAGTCATATTAGAGTTCATTAGCTGTGGTGGGTTAAATCCTGATGGATGCGGTGTTCATACGTCTGTAGTATGTTCTTATGCTCAGAATGGTGTTGGCCAACAGAGGGCGCTATAGCAGCATGTGGTACGTGCTCTTTTGCACGCACTCACTGCGGGCTGAATCAGTACTGAACGTGCTGTGCGTGAATAGGAACTCATTTTATCTTCATTCATAATATTTAAATGTAATATTTCAAATTCATTTGATTTACGTTTTTATAATATGTAAAATATATCTTCAACAATTGTTATGTTTGAGACGAACTGTACTTAAATCGTTGTAATGATGGGAGTCAGCACGTGTTTGCACTTCTGACGTGATAACGTGAAATTATGACGTGTGAGTCTGATTAGGTGCGTACAGCTATACTGTATAATAATAATAATAATAATTATTGTTATTATTAAAACCATATAAATATATATTCATACAGTTTTAAATAAATAAACACTTTTGTATATGATGCATAATATGTATTTCATTTTTCGTGAAAAATGTATGTGCATAGATATATATATTATACATATTTATGTATAGTTTTCTTACAAATTATATCACATTTTGTATGTCAGTACACAAAATATATACATTTACACAAGATGTACACAGGAAAAAATAAAAAGCTCTGCATGCAAAATTGGTGACCATAACCTTATACTTGTTATTACAGTAAAACTGTTTTCGTATAACTGTAAACTGTATTAGTATAACTGTATTACATTAGTATTAAAATATTAGATAAAAAATACAATAAAGATTTTGTGGAAAGTATATGGTATTTTGGACAAAAATATTTTTGCCATTACATTTTTTTGTAAAGGATAGCTCAGGAATTTAAATTGTGAGGGGAAAAAATAATTATTTAAAATATCTGAAAAATATTTGAGTACAATTCAGTTCTGAGAGTAATGTGGCATGCTGCAGTTTGAGAGTCACTGCTTAATATAACTAATATAGCTAAAATGGGCATAATATATTTTCTCAAATGGCTCATTTAGCTTTCCTCATCTGTTTAATTCATTCTCTCAGTCTAAACATCACTAAGATCCTCTCACTTGGATGTATACCAGGCTTGAATGATGTTCCTGCATTATCCATGTTGTACATGAAGCAAAATTAAACAAATAATTATAGAGCTTTTGTATATCCTAACAGTGTGTGTGATCCTGTCTTCTGAGCAGTTTACAGATGACGACAGATGATGGAGACATTCTGCTGGATTACTCTAAGAATCTCATCAATGAAGAAGTCATGCGCATGCTCTTCGACATGGTACGGTCCACAATCCTCCTCAAGCTAAACATTTCTTCATAAAGTCAGAGTAAAGTGTGTTACTATTAAAAAGCAGTGCAGGATCGGAGCTGTTACTGTAATCTCTCAGCTAAGCATCTTTAAACCCCTTGTCAGAAGCGTGTGTGTGTGTGTGTCTCCAGATGTTAATTGGCTAAATGCATGTGTTCTTAAAGCTGCTGCTGCTGAAAATAGAATAGTTGTATCAGGTTAAGTTAGGCCTGTGTGTGGTGTAATGTTTATGTAGTGTGAGCTTAAAACCAAAGCATACTTCAGTTTTGACGCAAATGCTATCGTATATTTGCAGCCAAAAGTATAATTATATACATAATTTGACAGTGCAAACACAGGAGCATGGAATAAAAAAAAAAAGATAATTGTAACTTTATCTCATAATTCAGACTTTGTAACCCTTAAGTCAAAATTGAAAGATATAAACTCAGAATTCTGACTTTTCTCACAATGCCGATTTTACATCTTTCAATTCCATCCTTACATCGTGCAATTCCGACTTTACATCGTGCAATTCCGACTTTACATCTCGCAATTCCGACTTAACATCTCGCAATTCCGACTTAACATCTCGCAATTCCGACTTAACATCTCGCAATTCCGACTTAACATCTCGCAATTCCGACTTAACATCTCGCAATTCCGACTTAACATCTCGCAATTCCGACTTAACATCTCGCAATTCCGACTTAACATCTCGCAATTCCGACTTAACATCTCGCAATTCCGACTTAACATCTCGCAATTCCGACTTTACATCTCGCAATTCCGACTTAACATCTCGCTATTCCGACTTAACATCTCACTATTCCGACTTAACATCTCGCAATTCCGACTTAACATCTCGCAATTCCGACTTAACATCTCGCAATTCCGACTTAACATCTCGCAATTCCGACTTAACATCTCGCAATTCCGTCTTAACATCTCGCAATTCCGACTTAACGTCTCGCAATTCCGACTTAACATCTCGCAATTCCGTCTTAACATCTCGCAATTCCGACTTAACGTCTCGCAATTCCGACTTAACATCTCGCAATTCCGACTTCACATCTCGCAATTAAAATATATTTTTTAAAAAAATATATATATATATATATATATATATATATATATATATATATATATAATAATAAATAAATATATAATGTTATTATTATTATTATTATATATATTTTTTTTTACATGGGCTAAGTGGTACTTCTCTGCTTGCATTTTAAAGTAATATAATTTATAATATAATATAATTTATGATTAATTGATCATTAATTTCACTGACAGCTATGAAAATTCCTGAAAGTTGACACCGTGTATGTGTGTGTTATTCTACAGAAAGTGCGCAGTGGCGAGTGGAAAGGCTTCAGTGGTAAAGCCATCACTGACGTCGTGAACGTTGGCATTGGTGGTTCTGACTTGGTGAGTTTACTATGAGTTTCCGGAGATGCTTACACATCATAATTGACCAATAAAGGAGATCTGGCTATCGCTTAGAGTAACTGAAGTGTAATAAAACTGTCTGTTGTTAGTTATATTTATCATAGCAAATGTTGCCTGATTCTGGACTGAAATGTCAGTCACTTCTGTTAGATATTCTCCCTTTTATCCTGACGGCTAGGACTCATCGAGTCAAGTCTGGTAATCATTCACGATACTTGTGTAATGTTTGGAGTAGCATTTATTAAGTTTTGTTTTGTTCTTCAGGGTCCTCTGATGGTGACTGAGGCTCTGAAGCCGTACTCTAAAGGAGGACCCAACGTCTGGTTTGTCTCTAATATTGATGGCACACACATGGCCAAGACCCTCGCCCAGCTCAATGCCGAGACCACCCTCTTCATCATCGCATCCAAGGTACAAAAAAACAGTATTTAAAGAAAACAGTCTTGTACAGCACTGTAGTGTTCATTTGAGAACATTAGAATCGTTTATAAATCTGTTGTTGTTTACAAAGAAGTTTCAGTGTCACATGATCCTTCAGAAATCATTCTATGCTGATTTGCTGCTCAAGAAACATTTACTATTTATTATTATCAATGTTAAAAACAGTTTTGCTGCTTAACATTTATGATAGCACTCAAACATCAAACATCAGAGAGAAATTAATAATTTTATTCATCATACATGAAAGTGATAAAGTGAGTGAAGACATTTAAAATGATGCAAAAGATTTATATTTAATAAATGCTTTACTAAATGTAATACATATATTTGATAAATGCAATTAAATGCTGTTCACTGAACTTTCTATTTATCAAAGAATCCTGAAAAATCAAATGTATCACCATTTCCACACGAGTTTTCATCATTGATAATAATCAGAAATGTTTCTTGAGCAGCAAATCAAATTGTAATGATTTCTAAAAGATCATGTGACACTGAGAACTGATGCAGAACATTCTGCTTTGATCACAGGAATAAATTACATTTTATAATATTAAAATAGAAAACTTTTTTTTAATTATTTGTAATATTTCACAATAATATTACTGTTAATACTTTTATTATATTATATTATTATTAAATGCTGATTTTTACTTTTATAGGACAATAGTATGTATTAAAATATAAGATATATATGCTTTTTTGTCTCTAGCTGATCACATGCCTGATTTCTATTAAATAAACTGGTAATACAAAGTGAACAAGTTACTGCAGGTACTTAATTTCTTAATGTATTTTGTTTTTTAGACGTTCACCACCCAAGAGACCATCACTAACGCTGAGACGGCCAAAGAATGGTTCCTCCAGGCCGCTAAAGATGTTAGTACTTTTACTGTTTTACTGAAAGATTCCTGATTTATGTCTAATTTTATGCACTACATTTATAGATGGTTGTCTTTTCGTCTCATTCAGCGTTTTGTGTATTTTCAGACATCTACTGTGGCCAAACATTTTGTGGCTCTTTCCACAAATGCAGTAAGTACAGGATTTTGTCAGCTGTATGCTATTTTATGTCGATGTTTTAAGTATCTTTAAAAAAGTTTTAAAGAAATTTCCTGTTTCCTCACCAGCCAAAAGTCAAGGACTTTGGTATCGACACCAACAACATGTTTGAGTTTTGGGATGTAAGTATTCCTTGCATTATATTCTGTTATTGCATGAGAATGCAAATCTTCATTTTGGTTGGCTGAGAATAAGGCTGAAAGTAAATGACTGAATGCATGACTGCCAGTAATATTTGACTACTCTGAATTAGCATATAACTTCTCAAAGCCCAGACTGTTTTTCTGATGCTGATTGCTCATGTTTTAGTGGGTCGGCGGGCGCTACTCGCTGTGGTCGGCTATCGGTTTGTCCATTGCACTGCACATAGGTACGTCTGCTGTATGAGCATAAGGCCTGAAACATGCTGTATGCATGTATGTGATCGCAATTGCTTCTAGCTACGCAAGTTTTATTTTGGTGTGCTGTACATAAAATCAGAATGCAATTCAAGTACATTTTGCATTCTCAGCATTGCCGGAGAGGGGGCGCTATAACGGGTATTAGCATAACCAGTCTTATTATCATAACTAGTTTATTCTTTCAGTGAGTACGTTTACATGTAATCTAAGTAATCAGTAATCTAATTATTTACCTTGTTCTGAATAAGACAATATTGTGATTACGGTGTTTACACGAGTTGCTTTTAGAATATTCCTTTCATGTTCCGGTTTTACATGTTACAGTATATAGATCGATTAATGCCTCTCGTCATTACGTTCCCACGTGACGCCATCCGACGTCCCCTCTGGAATATCAACATACAGTTCGTCTTCGGTACTATAAAGTTTTGGGTGTTTCATTTTTAATTTTACGAAAGCTTCAAGTGCAGTTAATTATATGTCATGCTATACGTGCAAACAGACGACGGCAGATAAAGCCTTCTTGCTTGAAGCCATGCTCTTTTGTTTGCCATCAAACGGTTGACCACTGCCGGTCACTACACAACGGTAATAATGTGATTTAAGGTGTGTACATGTCTATACTGCACTTCAATAATGCGATTAAAATGGGAATACTCCACAGGTCTTAATTTGATTTGTGTTTACTTCGAGTATGACTTTAGCCAGATTAAGGTAATCAAAGATCTCTGTTTAAATGGTAGATTCTTAATCAGAGTATTGTCTTAATCGTATTAATATCGGATTATTGTTGTCCGTGTAAACATACTCAATGTCAGTGAGAACCACTGAGAGAACTGGAGTTAACTAGTTAAACTGATTTAAATTCAACATTAAATCATAATTGACCCCATTTACTTTCTTAATCCATGTTCCTGGTCCTGATTTGAACGATTCATCAATGATATTCCCAAAAATATGGTTTGTTTGGTAATTAGGTACATTACCAATTGTGTTTTTTTTTTAATCTAATTTACTGTCCACCATTTACAAATTCCTCCTCTTCAGCCAACTGACTCCATTCTGGTGTTCACAATAAGAAAAAAAACCCTCCAAGTTCTGACCAAACATTCATGTTTATGTACTTGTGTAGAGCATGTTTCTGGCCTAACTTCTGCCTGATCCAAATGTGAAAGGCCGCTAGTGCATCATCTTGCACTGATAGACTATTTACACACATCTTTCTGTCTGTAAATGATCCAGTGACTTTATTCATTGTCCCCTCATAGGTTTTGACAATTTCGAGCAGCTTCTAGCCGGTGCTCACTGGATGGTAAGCTCAACTGTAGTGTGCCAGTCAACATAAAGATTACTGTACACTCCACACTGTTGAGAGTACCTCAGAGCATCTGAGAGTTTGTGTCTCTGGTGGTAACCGCTCTGTACTCTTTCTATAAGGATAACCACTTCCGCTCGGCTCCTCTGGAGCAGAACGCCCCGGTCATACTGGCCCTGCTCGGCGTCTGGTACGTCAACTTCTTCCAGGCCGAGACACATGCCTTGCTGCCCTACGACCAGTACATGCACCGCTTCGCTGCGTACTTCCAGCAGGTCGGTCTGATGAGGTTTCAGGAAAGGACCTCATTGCTGCTTATAGCAGGACACTTGTTGAGTTGTTGGTGATCTTTCAGGGAGACATGGAGTCCAACGGGAAGTACATCACCAAGTCTGGCACTCGTGTGAATTACCACACTGGACCCATCGTGTGGGGGGAACCAGGAACCAACGGACAGCATGCCTTCTACCAGCTCATTCACCAGGGTCTGTGATCCTAACCCTCCCCTGTGGACCAGTTCCTAGTTTAATTGACATGCTAATGCCCATTTGTGACGTGTTTATCACAACAGATCTTAATCTCCGCAGGCACTCGCTTGATTCCGGCTGACTTCCTCATTCCTGCTCAGAGTCAGCATCCTATCAGAGATAATCTGCATCATAAGGTATGCCGACCGTCTGCGTGGATCAGGACACGTCTTTGTTTTCTGCTTCTCTTGGGTGACTGATGCTCCAGATGTTATTTGAGCCACGTTTGTCAAATGGTTACGAAGCACTCTCTCGTTTCATGAATCCGGTAGATCCTGATGGCAAACTTCCTGGCGCAGACAGAGGCTCTGATGAGGGGAAAGACCCCTGAAGAGGCCAAGAAAGAGCTCCAGGGTTCTGGGTTGTCTGGAGATGCACTGGAGAAACTCTTGCCCCATAAAGTGAGTGGTTCTTTACTTGAAAACCAAGTGTTGAATCTTTGGACGGTATCTAAACTGGAGTCTGTCGGAACTGTAGCTTGGTGGTTAGTGGACATGCTTTGATAAATGCGCATCCATCGGTGTGTTATGGTCACAAAGGGATTTTTGTTTGATTGTACAAAAGCATTGCCAAGATTGCCTGAAGCAGGGGTAGCCAACCCTGCTTCCGGAGAGCAACCATCCTGCAGAGTTCTTGAAAATTGCAGGCAGGTGTGTTGAAGCAGGCTTGGGATTGCAGGAAAGTAGCTCTCTTTAGGAGCAGGGATGTCTAACCCTGACATAAAGTGTGTTTCTTATAGGCACTCCAGCAGTACACATTTTCAAACTCTTCCTAATCAAACGCCTGATTTAACTCACCGAAATCACACACTCCCTTAGTAGGTACTTCTTTTGAATAAGTACTTTCTTTACCACCGTTACAAAAGCATGTTCTATTTAGTACGAATGTGCATAGTATGAATGCAATCTGGACGTACTAAATCTACCACTGTCATATGACCTACAACATGGGCATTTGTGGCCTAACGGTTAGAGAATCGGGCTTGTAACCAGGAGGCAGGAAATGTAGGTGGGGTGAGTGAATGAACAGCACTCTCTTCCACACTCTATACCCACGACTATAAACCCCAATTGCTCCCCGCAACAAAAATGGCTGCCCACTGCTCCTGGTCTGTATCCACCAATGGACTCATCAGCTTCTTCAAGAACCACTCATAAATGTTTCCTAACTCCTCCCCTTTAACCCTACCTCTGCTGACCCCCTCATCCAATGAGATTAGTGAATTAGTGTTCACACACTGCTCCTAATGTGTATGTGCACTAACTTGGATGGGTTAAATGCAGAGGAAATACTATTTACGAATCCTCTCCTACGGCCTAATAGGATCCCGCCAGAAATAGTAGGTCATCGGAATACTTTTCGCCTACTGTTTTGTGACACTCTCAGTTCGGACATCGTACAGTACAGTTTGAATCTTTTATTGTATGTGGGATTTTCTTCTGGTGTGTAATATTTGAATTTAGTCCCGTACATGTGATCTGTTTTTGAATGACACATTGATTTTTGTAGGTTTTCGAAGGAAACAAGCCAAGCAACTCGATCATTTTCAAGAAACTTACACCATTCATGCTTGGTGCATTTGTTGGTGAGTATCAAACATATTATCCCGCTACTTCCTTTTGTAGATGTGCATTTGTTTTGTAGACCCCCGCACTCAAGGACAATGTTCTGTATTTGTTCATACATTTCAGCCATGTATGAACACAAGATATTTGTGCAAGGTGTGATGTGGGATATCAACAGCTATGACCAATGGGGGTGAGTCCAGTTTAAAGTCTTCTGCAGCTTCAATTGGGTCCAGTTCAAAAGTTGCGACAGATCTTTCCCTCCAAATGATTTGCTTCAAGTCTGAAGTTTCAGGCATACGTACATTTACAGGTTTTTATCTGTCCCATCAGTGTGGAGCTCGGCAAGCAACTGGCCAAGAAGATTGAACCCGAGCTGCAGGACGACGCAGAGGTTCATTCCCACGACTCCTCCACCAATGGACTCATCAGCTTCTTCAAGAAGAACCGCTCTTAAATGTTTCCTAACTCCTCCCCTTTAACCCTACCTCTGCTGACCCCCTCATCCAATGAGATTAGTGAATTATGTATTAACGCTTGGCATAGTTCATATAATAAGCCTAGACAAGGAGGACAAGCACTTTGTCTGTCATCATGTATAAGCCATGAGATTCTTGTGTTGTGTAAGATTTGACTGTATTCATGTATCTGTGGACCAGTATGGGACGACTATCTGTTTGCACTGCACATTCTAGATGGATTTCATGTTCTCCTTTGGGCCAAGGAACCACAATAAATGTATTCTGTCACCTTGCTTAGTCGCATATTCTTTTTGTTCTGTCAAATTCCCTCCGAGATAAGTGTCCATTACATGGACCCGCATATGTTCCAGATTTGGAGGTGGCACCTCCAGGATTGATTTGATGAGCTGTTTTAATGAATGAGGTTACTCACTACCATTATTTGGCAGTGCCCCACCAACACAATGAGTAAAATGCATTTCTTTTTTTTTCTTTTTTAATGCTAATCTGTTTTGGAAACCTAGCATGATTTGACATCACCCCTTGGTCTGGGACCTCATTACTTACACGTTACTTGGCTTTTGAGTTGAAGAATTAGTGAACGTGCTAACTATACGACGACTGTATTCAAACTGCTCTCTAAAGCAGGCTAACTTTCTTAGCTTTTGAACTTGCCATGTGTTGTCAAGTAGGACGTTTTCTTTGTTCAACATCTATGCACTGGTTCCTATCAACCAATCAGACTTTGGGATTGGGTTTTAGGACTGGGATGTGTGATTGAACAGTGTTGGCATAGTTTGACAGGAAGGCTGTTCCAGACAAAAGATACTGAGCTAGAAACAAAGTCACAGTTACCTGAAAGGAACGGAGTAAAGAAAAGTTTCATGTTCAATGTATTACCAAATCAGTCCATACCAAAATCAGTTGATGGTTATGAAAGTGAATCCAATATTTCTTTAAATGCTGTCAGGTCAGAAGACCTTTGAGCCAAAAAGTGCAATTTTGCGATTCATCAGATTAATGCATCCAATTATGTTGTTAAAAGCACATTAGATTCTTTCATCGATATCCTTTTATTTTATAGTTTCCGTTTGTTTCAATGTAACTCTTTGTTTCTTAAGATAAAACATGGACTAGAGTTTTACATCATAAAATAATAGTTCACCTCCAGCCCCATTTTTCCACAGCCATAGGCACGTTTGCACATGCCTAAATGAGCAACATATGATATGCACTGGTTGAGGGCGGGATTCATTTCTGTGTGCAGTGTGAAGCATAAAACCTGAAAGATTTACAAGATTCACACACTCATCAAACCAGCTGACCACAATAGACAGGTTGTAATCTCACAGGCGCCTTTCTAGATCTCCTGATAGCATTGGCTGCTTCATTCCTGTGCATGGTGTAGAAATGGAGGGGATTGTAGAAGGCTGTCTGGGTTTTCTATACGATTTGCTCGTGGTAATTTGTGTTGGGCTGCTGCTTCTGCGGGTTGCTGAGGGCCGGTCGGTGAGGTGGTTGGTGCTACTCGTGGTTTCTGGAGTGATGTTGAGCTGCTTGGTCCATTCAAGCGCCCTTAAAGTGGGGCTTGTGAGTGTGCTGTGTAGTCTCATCCACTATGTAGGGAGAGAAGAGGTCATGTTGCCTACCAAAAACAAGGCAGTACTGATCACAGGTAAGACACTATCCTGTTTGGTCCTGTCAGACTGTTGTTGGCTAAATTCTGTGTTTGTGCATTTGTATATATTATGAATCTCAGCATATATTAATTGTATTGCACTGATTTTGTTATTGTTTGAATTATTTTGTTTGAATTTCATGAAACCTCAAGAATGTTGTTGAAATAAGAAATTGCATCTTGTAATAAGAAATAAAGCCTATTTTTATTATTATTATTATTTTTTTGCATTGTGACATTGTTTTTATGACATTTAAGCTTATTTCCTCCTGAAGTCCTAATCCCGTAATAAATAATACAAGAATAAATAATTACATAAATCAGTCTAATTTTTATGATGTATATAGGCTTTACTTTTGTGTTTATTCAGTATAGTGATTCTGATTTCTGGAAAAAAAAAATACATTAATGTTATCAGCACTTATCTATCTATCTATCTATATATACATTTGAATTTGGAAAAAAAAAAAGATATACATTTTGGTATATATTACATCTGAAAAAATCTAATGCCTTTAGAGTGATAAAAGTAATTAAAGCGAGTAATACAGTTAAGTATATTATGGTAATGAGAATATGATCTTTGCATTACAGTAATGAGAATTGGGGGTAAATGTTCTTAATTGTTATGAAAATAATGTCACTGTACACAAAATATTAATGGTTTTTATGCTATGAAATGTAAACATTTCACCCAGTAAATCAATATTTCTCTGCCACCCTAGTGAACTTTGCACTGTGAATTTATCTCAGTAAGGTTAACAGCACTTCTTCCTGTAAGACCATAAATCACTGCTGCATTCTTGTGATGACACTTAACACAGACTGGTTTCTGGTTTCACACATGAGGCTGCTGCATTATTAGATGCTTTCAATGACCAAAATGATCCATAATGCATTGGAATTTTGGAATTGTAGCAGTGTGATTGTTTAAGGAACTGAGCTTGTGTTTGTCTCAGGTTGTGATTCAGGTTTTGGTCACGATCTGGCAAGGTTTTTGAACAGCACGGGGATGAGGGTGTTTGCAGGGGTTCTGGATGAACTCAGTCCTGGAGCTCTGAAGCTGAAGAAAGATGCATCTCCAAACCTCACTGTCCTACAGTTAGACATCACCAACAGCAGCCAGATCACACAGGCACATCAGTACATCCAGAGTCAAACAGGCAAAACCGGTAACAGAACCGGTAAATATAGTGTTGATATATCTAATCTTATTAATTGTATTTCCTAAGGCAAGCAATGACAAGTACTTATGTGATATGTAACTCAGCCAAATCGTTCGTGCTACAGACATACTGTAAATGATACCTCAGATCGGCTTGTTGAGGAGAGGTGGGCTTTTATTTTTGCAAAATGAACATTTTTTTCCTGGCAGATGACAAAACAGGTGAAAACACATCACAGACTTGCACAAGGAGGGATCTGAACCATATTTAGATACTAGAATCTCATAAAGACTTGAGATGGAGTCTTTTGATTTAGAATGAATGAATAAATACAACTACAACCACTCATAACATACAAAAAAAATCACAAAGAACATATTAGCAACAGCATAACAACTACCTAGAACACCCTAGCAACCACATTGAAACATCAACCAACATTCTAGAAACTGCACAGCAACTACCCAGAACACTCACTTGGCACATTGCAACCTCCTGTCCAGAACAGTCATATGGCAACTACCCAGAACACCCTAGCAACCACTTAGCAATGTCATAGCAACCAAACAGAAAACCCTAGCAACCACTTAGCAATGTCATAGCAACCAAACAGAACACCCTAGTAACCACTTAGCAACATCTTGGCAACAAACAAGACCACTTCCCAGAACACCCACTGAGCAATATCCTAGCAACTATCCAGAACACTCAACCAACAGCATAGCATCTACATAGAAAACACTGGAAACCAACCAGAACACCTTAGCAACATCTGAGCAACTATCAAGAACACTAGCAACCACATAGCAACTTCCCAGAACACCCACTTAGCAATACTCAGGCAACAGCAGAGCATCTATTTAGAAAACGCTAGTAACCACCCAGAACACCCTAGTAACCACTTAGCAACAATCCAGAACATTCTAGCAACCAAATCACAACTTCCCAGAATACCCACTTGGCAATATCCTAGCAACTTTTCAGAACACTCAAGCAACATCTACCGTCTACTTACCTAGTGACCACCTAGAACACTCTGGTAACCACTTAACAACAACCTAATAAAAAACACCACATTGGTATAGAAACCACATAGAACACCCTAGCAATAATCTAGAACATTCTAGCAATTGCACAGCAACTATCCAAAACACTCACATTGCAACTGACCCATAACAACCAAACAGAACACCTCAGTAACCACTTAACATCTGTGCAACCATCAAGATCACTCTTGCAAACGAGCACAACCACCTAGCAACTATTCAGAACACTCTTATCAAGTGCTTAGCAACTACCTAGAAAACCAAGATACCCAAGCAATAACCAAGAACATCAAGTAACCAATTAATATTCTAATAACGCATAGAATACCATAGTAACTGCAGTAATATCACCCTGAACATCTTAGAAACTGCATAGCAACCACCCTGTAATCCTAAAAATCACCAAGAACACCTTAACGACTGCATAGCAACCCCCAGAACACCCAAACAACCTTTTGGGAACATTCTAGCAATTATACAGAACATGCTCTTAGCAGCTAACCACTTAAACACTTTGCTACATCCTAGCAACTATCTAAAACACCCTAGAAACCACATAGCGACAAACTAGCAACCACCCAGAACATCCTAGTAACCACATAACAACATCCTAATAACACCTAGAACACTCTAGCGAGTGACTGCATAGCAACCACCTGGAACACCTTTGAAACCACATAGCAACCATGCAGAAATCCAAAAACCACCAAGAACACCCTAGCGACTGTATAGCAAAGAACATCCTAGCAACTGCATAACAACCCTCAAAACACCCAAGCAACTACATAACAACATCTTAACAATTACCCAAAACACCCACTAAGCAACTAACCACTCAACTACTTTGCTACATCCTAGTAACTATCCAGAAAACCCTAGCCACCACTTAGCAACTACTCAGAAACCCTAGCAATCTAGAAAAACTAGCAATTACCTAGAGCACACGGTAACCATTTAACAATGACCCAATAACACCTAGACACCCTAGTAACTCCACAGCAACCACACAGAACACTTACAAACCCCATAACAATCACACAGTAATCCTAAAAACCCTAGCGACTACATAGCAATCACAAAGAGCACCCTAGTGATTGCAAAGCAACACCCCAGAGCACTCAAGCAACCTTTTAGAAAAACATTCTAGCAACTATCCAGAACAACCTAGCAACCGCATAGTAGATCAGAATGCCAAAGAAACTGCATAGCAACCACCCAAAATATTCCAGCAATGCCCCATCACATATAACAACCCAGGACACCCAAGAAACCACATAGCCACAGGCTACAAACCACTCAGAACACTGCAGCAACCACATAGCAATGCCCTGGCAACCTCAAGAAGAAATGCTACTGTTTAAAGTTTAGTAGTATGCATACAGACAAGTGCATTGATGTTA